TCAAAAACACGGCGACCTGTAGAGTTATAAAGGGTGATCGAGTTTTTCAGGTTCAAATAAATTTGAAGAATGAATGTTCCAAAGAAATAAATTTTGTGAAGACTTTCTTGTTATTATGAGAATATAATATATGACAGACCATTTAATTTTGAGCAAACTTCTGATGTCGAAACCCTAGAAATATTCTGTCAGTGTCTCATTCATCGTTATACTACGAGAAAATGAATATTATCTTTATAATTATCATTATATTAGTTATTTTTGTATCTAGAGCGCGAAATGTTACTTTGGTGATCGAGATCTGATTTTTTTAACGAGGCGTAGCCGAGTTAAAAAAATAGTCGAGATGACCAAAGTATTTCGCGCTCGAGTTGCAAACAAAATTTTTCCTACAAACGTCAAAAAATATAGTTTTAAAGAAAAAATATGCTTAGCTTGATATAAAAAATGGTGTTGAACTGGCTTAAAAGGCCTCTCCTATCCTCCCTAGGTGAGCACGATGTTTCACGAACATAATAGGAATTTCCTTTCGTGCGCTCCAAGAGATAAAACGAAGTTATTGTTGAACATTCAGAAATAAATGATTTCGTGGATGTTTTCTCGATTAAGGACCATTAAGTTGAAATATGAATATCTCATATATTTTACATAACAATGCGCGAAGTAGGTACTTCGCGCACTGTTTTACTCCGCACATTGTTTGGTGCAAGGTATCATTGTAACGTAGGAAACTGAAAAAAAGTGTCACTTCGCAATTTGCTATCAATGCGCGAACCTTGTCATTTTTCGACGTTTGTAGAAAAAAGTATTATTGTTCCATAGTTGAAAAACGAAAAAGCGGAATATTCTCTTTTCTACGGCTATAACGCAAAATTGCTCTTGTTTTACTGTGTTCGATAAATCAATGTCAATGTCATCAATTTTATTTCCGTATTTGATATCACAATGACTTCATTGTGTTATTCCAGAAGAATCTCATCGCCCAGGAAATGTCTAAATTCAAGCAATAACTCTGTCTAATAGATGAGCATTACTTGAGAAGACATCAGATGGTTACAAGACGAAGAAATCAAAAGTGCTACTCTTTTTTGTTACAACCGTTTTGCAGCCGACTGCAGCCTATGTTATATATCATTCATTTCATTACTATTACATATTGTCCCAATATTGTGAGTTTAAAATTGAGTTTACAGCATTACGAAAAACGTTCTTATTATCAACAAGTAGGGATGGGAATTATTATTATCATTATTATTATTTCTAAAAAAGATATTATGCTCCTAGGTAACAGCTGAAAGCTAATAGAACAGCTGCTGATGATGACGTGGTCAGAAGAGTAACATTAGTGGTAACTTCACTTTTGTTTAGAATGGAAAATAACATGTTCAATTCGGATCAACAGCGAATTTCTTTGACTTGACAAACAAAGTGTCACTTTTGGTCCTTAACGGTCCTTTGGTCCTGATGGAACAATGTACCATTTCGTTACTTAAATCAGTAAAGTTATATCCTCTGAGAGATTGGTCCTAAGAAACTAAATCCCCTACCTGATTGCTCTTCCAATCGTGTTCCATCTCCATTATGCTTTATTTCCTATCCAGGTATTAGTACTGGCTCTTCTAGCAGCTTCCGCAAACGCAGGGGCGATTTCTCTGGTCTCAGGGGGCCTTGGGCTGGACGACGGCCATGGTATTGGACTAGTCAACCATGGAATTAGTCTGAGTGGCCATGGAATAGGACTTGGAGGTATCGGACTTGGAGGGGTTGCATACGGAGGACACGCCATAGCTGCACCTGTAGCTGTTGCCAAACAAACTGTAGTCGACCTTCATGTAAGTTGAAATGTCCTTTCAGATATGGAATATTTCCTGAACAACTTAAAATCTCATTAATAACACCGATTCATAAAAAAGGGAATCATGAATTATATGAGAACTACAGACCTATCAGTGTTTTGCCTTCATTCTCGAAACTTTTTGAGACGGCTATGTGCACAAGACTAATGAACTTCATGAATCACTGTAACCTAATAAACTTGCATCAGCATGGTTATATCAAAGGAAGATCTGTACAAACTGCTATTATTCTATTTACAGAAAAAATAATAGAATCTTTCGTAAAAAATGAGATTTTTCTAGGAATTTTCTTAGACTTGTCTAAAGCCTATGACTGCTTGAGCCACAATTGTTTGCTCTCAAAACTTGAGGAATATGGAATCCGTGGCAATGCATTCGAATGGTTTGAGTCATACCTATCAGATCGAAAACAAAGAGTAAAAATTATGCATGAAGGTAAAATCACTAAGTCACACATAAAAGAATACAGAATAGGGATTCTACAAGAAAGTATTACAGGTCCAATTCGATTTGCAATCTTTATGAATGACATAATATCAATATTAAACAATGATAACAGCCTGATAACCAGCTATGCTGATGATACCAATTTACTAACTTCAAAATTCTAAAAGTCTCATTATGAGAGCTAATGAGTGGTTCTCAAAAAATAATCTCTTACTTAACAAAGAAAAAACTCATGTTATCCTTTTCCGGACCTCACAGCAAAGAATTACAACTCCAACTAGTATAAGACTTCTTGAAACTAACATCAATATAGAAAGTAACACAAAATTCTTGGGTGTTTTTATAAATGAAAACTTAAAGTGGGATACACACATCAACTATCTTGGAGCAAAACTAAACCAAATAGCATACAGCATTCGTATACTTTGTAAATACCTGAATGAAAAGTTACTAAAAATTATCTATCATGCGAATTTTGAATCCACTGCAAAATTTGGCATAATATTTTGGGGATCGAGCAGTCAAACTAAGGAAATATTCCAGATCCAGAAGAGGGTTATGAGATCATTATACAATATGAAATATGTTGAAACGTGCAGAGGTACCTGCAGATCAAATAAAATAATGACCATATTTGCTCTATATATTTATGAATGTGTCATACATCTGTATAAAAATAAAATGAATTTCACATAAAGTAATAACAGCAGATACCCCATTCGGAACAAGAATTTCACTTTTCCAACACATAGTTTAACTTCAACATCAGTTCTTATGCTGCTTCCTTATTGGTCAGATAATCTTCCATTCCCACTCATGAAGCAAAGTTGTCAATTATAATCAAGTCATCAAAACGTTCTTAGAGTCCTGTTTTTGACTTTCTCGAGGAACCAGCTTGTCAAAATATTTCGTGTATCCCATATCAAAATATGTAAATGTTGGTTGGAGACTTGGAAACATGCGCTGAATGCTGAGAACTGACAAGACAACGCTTCTAGTCCTTGCCGTGTTGTCAAGTTTACCGGATCTAAATATCCTGTATTAAAAATCAATATTATGAGTAATAAGCCATAACAATACATATCGGAAAATTTTAAGACGATGAAATCGTTGAACTCAATACTCAGCTCTAGGTGGTACTGTTTCGACTGTGAATGGCCTACTAGGCCTACACAAAAAATTTACAGGGTGGTTCACGGTCGATGGTACCTTAGACATAATTTACTGAGAATGGGACATAGAATCATTCTGAAAACTTGGTTACTCAAGTAAGTAGTTGCTCTTGGTCTATCGATATGGAATATTTTTAGCAATGCAGAGTTGCCGCTTATACCAGACAGTAGTAGCAACTATGATATTTAAAATGGAAGACCCCGTCGTATTATTACATTTCTAGATTCTGCTCGGAGAGTTGATTTCATCAATGCTTCACACTTGGGGTCTAGCGGAAATGATTACAGAAATAAAGGGAGTTTAAAATTGAGATTTTTTAATTTGAAGATTTTTTTGTGTCGAAACTATTCATTGTCGGTCAAAACGGGTTCCATGTTCCTATCTTAACTTTTGATTTACTATCAACTGCCATTCAATTGGAACATATACTGGGTGATTGAATTCTGAATCTCACACCACCCTGGATTTGTTCCAATTGAATGTCAAGAGATAGTAAATCAAAAGTAAGATGGGGGCATGAAAGTTGTTTCGACCGATAATTAAAAGTTTCGAGACAAAAAAACCTTACACCCTTTATTTCTGTAACGATCCCGCTAGATCCCAAGTATGATACATTGATGAAATCCTCTCTTCAAGAAGAATCTGGAAACGCTATGAAATACAGGGTGAAATATTGAAATTGTAACTACTTCCTTGCGGCAACGCTACATTGCTAAAACTGTTTCAGATCGACAGACCAAAAGCAATCATCTGAGTGACGAAATTTTCAGAATTATCCAAGTCCCCTTTCTCCGGAAACGTATAAGGTGCCATCGACCGTGAGCCATCCAGTTTATATAAAAAAAATAACGCACCGCCTGTATATCTGAAAAGATATTTCTGAACATGGAATTGTTAAAATGAGATTTCCATCTTGAAGAAGGAGTTATTTCAAGCTGTTGAACTACTGTTGAAAAAACTAATACATCCTGTATAATGTAGGCAGATTTGAAGGTCGCGGAACTATGATATAAATTCAAGCTGACCAAAAATCATTGAGGATCTAACTAAGTTCGAGAAATTACGAACGTCATTACTGATTGATTGAAGTGGTAATGCAATTTCTCACAAGCATTATTGCTTGTACAATCTGGTGAAACAACCGACTATAATTATTGACTTTGCAATGATACCGATACAGAAACAGATAGTGAGAAGACATAATGGAGATTTTCATCATCAATGGTATCAGCTCAAGTATCAGAAACTGTTCCCAATCCACCATGAGCTTTAGGTACCGCTCTCCCTAAACCCGCACAAGTTTCAACATCTGGAGAGAAAGTTTTACGAATTTTCAAAAGATCCCACGAATTTTTTTGAATCTTATGAATCTTATGAATTTTACGAATTCCACAATTTTTACGAATCTTACTGATTATACCAATCTCACGAATTTGACAAATTCCACAAATTTTTACGAATTTTACGAATGTCATGTGTCTTGACTCTCAGTGAGGTCGAATAACATCCTAATTTCCTTTCCAGGCCCCTGCCAAATACGAATTCAAATACGGCGTTGAAGATCCCCACACTGGCGACAAGAAACAACAATCCGAAGTCAGAGTAGGAGACGTGGTGAAGGGAGAGTACTCCCTAGCCGAACCAGATGGTACCATCCGCGTAGTCAAATACACCGCTGACCCGCACAACGGCTTCAACGCTGTAGTCAGCCGAATTGGTCATGCAGCTCACCCGCAGATCGTTCAAAAGGCAGTCGTAGCCAGCCATGGTTTGGGCCTGGGACTAGACGGTTACGGATACGGACATTGAGTCTTATAGAGGCCATCGAATGACTGACCTACTGCCAAAACGAATGTACTATAACTGTTGTTGCCATATTCTTCCTTCATGTTCTCATTGTATCGTTGCTCATCGTCACACCTTCATCGTTGTATTTTAGTTTTTAGATGTGTTGTATATTGAATACGAATTAAACGTTTGTAGTTGATACATTGCTCTTCTTGCTTCTTGAAAAAATTATTGGTAGATACAGCAATAACGGTCACAATCGGGTCGATTCTGTTTGCAAATAGCAATATGGTTGTAGAGAAGATATTGCTATCATAGCAAAATTCGAAAAAGTGGAATTCTAATCATCTATTCTTGGTAAAATGATCTGTCAATTTCAATGACATCTGGTTAGCTTTCTTGCTATCTCGGCAACATCAATTTTGTACTTGCTATCTGATAACAAGGTAATGGATTCTTTGTTTTTGCACTACAAATTCTTCCAACTGTATGAAAATTCAGAATATATCGGATTAAAAACAACTGACTACTCGAAAACCTTTCCTCAAAGTTTCAATTCGTAGAAGAATTATTGAAAAACTTGGTGATTACAAACAAATAGGATAGGTTCACTGCTGTGTACTGTGACCAACTACTTGAAAACCTCTACTTGAAGTTCCAATTTGTATAGGAAATATGAGACTACAATTTCGGCATATCAGAGTAATTTCAGTTGCCTGATGGATAGTTTATCAAGCTATTTTGCTAGAATATTGAAAAAAAATCACGATTCGTTTCATCCGGCTTTTAGTTCTTTTCTCATTTCGGGGACATGATTGATCACTTGCACCAGTCGCACAACGACGAAATCTCTCGATTTGAACAATATAATTTTGTTACAATGTCAGTGCAGATCGCAGGACTGACTAATTTGAGAGGTTAGATAATCATGAACTCTTCTTCTTCATGAAATAATGGAAAAATCGATACTTAACACTCAAACAATTAGTTGAAAACAGTGTTGTCAGCTCAAAAATTCTCAATTTTTCAACAATATTGCTATCACTTGAACTTATAACCAGTCTTGCAGTTACTCTGCAAACAGAATACAGAACTTTATAGCAATATTGTTATATGTTATGATCATAACAATATTATTATCTTAGCAATGTTATAACAATATCCGAACAGAATCGACCCGAGTATATTACCGTAACAATATTCTGGTTATTATAGGTACAACCATCAGATACAAATCGTTGCTGATACTATATCAAATAGTAACTATAACGATATTCTGGCTGTGATAATAACAGAAAATCTTCTGTAGTAGTCCATACTCAAAGTGGAGTGAAATGATCAAGAAAGAAAACTCAAAGTCATCTCCATAATTTTAATGTCAAAGGAGGCAGTCAATCCTGCTTCAATAAGGTTTGATACATGTTTCGGCCATTCAAATGGCCATCTTCAGTCAAATTAGCAACAAACTGTATGTGGAAAAATTATTTAAAACATCGTGAAGGCGAAAAACTTATTTTTAAAACATAATTGATTATTTAATGGGAAATGGAGTTTGAGTCGGTAAAATTTGAGAGGAAGGCGAAAAGCCAATCGAAATGGTACATTGATTATTCCAGATTTTTTTTGGATTTCCTCTCCTTACTACAAGTATATCGAAATAGTATTCATATTCTTATGTTATAGAGACGAGGAGCACAAATCCCAAAAAAATCTGGAATAATGAGTATTTTATCAATTGAAAATCGGTACCTCCGAAAAACGCCAGGTTTCGATTACGTCATACGCCTTCTGGCAAAGATCAAAACTAGATATTTCCACGTTGCCAGATTCATAACTAGTTATTATTATTGTGGCCACCTGATTCATGATAATCACTTATTGTTCACTTATATAACTTGCAAAGTGTCATTCATAATACCCAAATATCCCTTATTATGATTTCATTCAAACACAAACTACTTGCGACTCTGGCAACAACGTAATGCTTCAGTTCAATTGAGAACCTTACACACTTCAAGAGAGGAGCAATTTGACTAAAAAAACTCATCAATTCTTCACCGCGATATTTCTACAGAAAAATAGGTTACGATTATGATATTATATATATACAGTGGGACCCACTTCTAATGGAACCACCCCTGTATCTTACGTAATCGTTGGGTAAGGATCCCGAAATTTGCTGGAGCGAGAGAAATACCAAAAATGCCCTCTATGACCAAGTGGGGTCATCTTCAGTGATATACACTGCTCGCCAACAGCAATGAAACTACCCCAATTTCCGGAAAATGATATTAGGAGTCAAAATAGGTCGAAAATCACTCCAGATTTGGAATCAGGACGACCAATTTACTAACTATTCAAATTTTTCCTGGAAAATTTTCAGTTCGGAAAAATTAAATTTTGTCGCAATTTTTATGGAAGCACCCCCGTATCCCACGTAATTGACTTTATCTTTGGACTTTCTCTTCCTACGGCAAATTTCTGAACCCTACCTCAATAATTACGTGAGATACGGGGGTGCTTCCATAAAAAATGCGACAAAATTTCATTTTTCCGAACTGAAAATTTTCCAGGACAAATTTGAAAAGTTAGTAAATTGGGCGTCCTGATTCCAAATCTGAAGTGATTTTCGACCTATTTTGACTCCTAATATCATTTTCCGGAAATTGGGGTAGTTTCATGACTGTTGGCGAGCAGTGTATATCACTGATGATGACCCCACTTGGTCATAGAATGCATTTCTGGTATATCTCTCGCTACGACAAATTTCAGGATCCTTACCCAGCCCAACGATTACGTAAGATACAGGGGTGGTTCCATTAGAAGTGGGTCACACTGTATAAATACTTCATCATTATTCTTCTGAATAGACGAAATCACTTACTATGAATAATCAATCAATATATTTTTGTAGTCATCAAGGCCAACGATGAACTTGACATTTCAATCAAACCTGCAGCAATGCTGCAATATACAGGGTGTCCCTGAAATGTCTGTACAAAATGATACCACAGACTCCTGTGATACCAAAGTTTGATGATTAAACAAAGTTGAGGAGCCTCAGGGCGTTGGAATTGGATTTGTATTTTTTATTTTTTCGTATATTTCAATATCATCTATAGATATCGTTCTGAAATTTTGAAGGCACACTGAAAGTACTATTATGCATAGAAAACATGCCATACCATTTTGATTGACATACAAAATGTTACATATTTGGAATACAGTTGGTTGAAAAATTGATAGATCTTTATATAACAATACGCAACTTGTTTGATCTTAATGTTGTTTGCTATTCTCTCTTTCAATACCTAACATTCAGCCATCTTGAAAGTTTGAGATATTTCTATTGGTTTGCAAGTTTATCGACCAAATTCAATTCGATGCATACTTGATACTTTTCAGGTTCATACTAAATTTTCGTATGAAATCATCAATCACATCAATGATATTCAATATGTGGCACACACTTCTTAACGAATTCAAAAGATAGGGTGTTTCATTCAATAAAAAGATGAAAATTTAATTCCTACGCCCTGTAGCAGCAGAAAGAAGCGTATTAGTATAGACGAAAATTTGGTTCAATCACCTCACTTTGGTCTCAGGAGTCGTTGGTATCATTTCGTACAGACATTTCAGAGACACCCTGTATAATATTGTTTTTTCTGGATTGCAAGAGAAGATCTCCATCAGATTCGTGAAACGTTTTTTCATAGATTAGAGTCGTTAATCTATGGCTTTTTGAACTGAAGTAGCTGAGAATAGTGAATACAGGCATAAAAGTTCCTCATCTTCCGGAGATAAGGAGTTCTTATGGAACTATTTGTGAAAAATTGCTCCAGTTTCGATATTAAGCAAAACTAAGTAGGTTCAATCAACTGAATCAGACATAATCATATCTCTCATCGTTGAATGTTTCTTCATACTCATCGAGCACAAATAAGAAGAAGCTAACATTTGTATAGAATACATTTATTTAAAATAATAACACGAATAATCAAAATATATACAAATATTGTGTATCGATACTAGATAATCAATACGACACTTCCCCGAGAAATATAGCAATAATTAAGAATGAACAACTATCAGTCCATCGTTCACAAATGCCCCACCAAACCATGAGAGATGATTTGAGGATGCACAGCATGTCCAATCCTGCTAACTACAGCGTTGAAACCGTTGTGGTCATCAGCAGTGTACTTAACTACACGTATGGTACCATCCGGTTCGGCTAAAGAGTACTCTCCCTTCACCACATCCCCAACTCTAACCTCCGATTGCTGTTTATGGTCGCCAGTGTGATGGTCTTCCACTCCGTATTTGAATTCGTATTTTGGTGGAGCCTGAAAATACAGAAAATCCAAGTGTCTTCAATAGAACTTAGACCAAGACAAAGACTGATCAGTCTTGGTCTTGGTCTCAAGAAGTAAATGTGTTGGTCTTGTCATGGTCTTGTATCAAGACCAAGACAAGACCAAGACTGGACTCTTGGTCTCGCCAAGCCCTAGTCTCCAATGCAGTCGATGTACTGGATTTCATCATGTGCTCTGAAATGATACGAAGCCATATAATTTAATCACAAGTATATATAGTTTTTCAACGGCTATAACACAAAATTGCTCTCGTTTTACTGTGTTCGATACGTCAATGAGGTACTTTGTATGCCATCAATATTATTTCCTTATCTGATATCACCATGACTCCAATCGTGGTCATCATTTAAAAATAGTTATTTACACTACAAGGGAGGCAAGTGATACTTACCAGTCGAGGACATTGTTTGCGCCCGAGCGATAGCGAGGGCTTGCAAAATAGTCCGAGACTGGTCAAGAACACTGCCTCCCGAGTTTTGTATTATATTTTTTCTACTCCAGTTCCCTTAGATTAAAAAAAATGTTTTTCAATTACTTATATAATTTGACTAATCTAACTGAAAAACCCTGTATGTATGACAGGTTTCCTAGTGTTACACGTTGATCGCTATGGAATTCATATTGTTTATAATCAAACAAATGTTCTGTCAGTGTCATTTTATTAAAAAAATCGAAATAATGGATATCGATGCAGTTGCGGATGCAGCTTGTGCTGCTCTATTACCTCAGAAATCGAAGGAACGGTACAATCGGTGTTACAAGGACTTCAATTTTTAGGTTAAATTATGAAGTTTATTTAACTTGCTTCCCTAGGGAGGTAAATATTTACTTACCTCCCTAGGGAGGTAGAACGTGTTTTCCTCCCTCAAATCAGTATCAAAATGAAGTACTTACCGAGTAAGGAGTAGAAAAAAATCTTATCGTTCATGGAATGCCAAATGTGAAACAATGACAGGAAATCAGATGGCTACAAGACGAAGAAATCGAAATTTCCGCTGTTATCTATTATAGCCGTAGAAAAATCATATTGTATAACTTCCACGGAATGCTGATTTCCTACTCGAATGATTGCAGCATTCGCCTATGTTTCATGCTGGAAACTTCATTCTCGTGGAAAATCATTATCATTCCGTGCTCGATAAACAATAGACTATTCTACAGTCCAATGCAAGGTTATCTTCTGTAAACTCACGTGTAAGTCGACTACGGTTTGCTTGGCAACTGCAATACCATGTCCTCCTATCAATCCTCCTCCCAATCCTAGTCCATCTCCGATTCCTAGTCCTTCAATCGCTAATCCTCCTCCATGTCCCAGTCCTTCAATCGCCAAACCTCCTCCATGTCCTAATCCTCCAATCGCCAAACCGCCACCAAGTCCTAATCCTCCTTCAAGTCCTAGTCCAATCCCTCCGATTCCTCCATGAACTAAGGAGATAGCACCAGCGTTGACAGCGACCAACAGGAAACAGAGTGAGAAGACCTACAAAAAATGTTGTATTGCTCTGATGAGACATTCGATTTTGAATTAGTTTTTAGAAAACTAGGACTTACTTTGGAGATCATTTTGTTGTTATGTCGATATCCACACTAGCAACTAACTGATAATAATTCCTCTGCTGTCTGTGTTTATATATAGAGGATCGACATATTTGAATACGTTCACTGTACAATATATGTATCATTCAGAAAAATGATGGATAGTGAATAGCATTGTAGTAACCAGATCTTGAGTGGAGCAAGTGTAGCAAGTACGAAAGCGGTTATGATATCAAGGTGTAAAATATTTAGAGGAATTCTCAGTTCGATTACTAATTATCAATAATTATTCTCTTCCGGCGGGTGGCAATGGAACTATGTGGTCAAACTGATAATTAATCCAGTAATAATGATCAATTTTGGTATTGTGACAGAAAAATTCGAAGTGGATATGTTTATGAGGGTATCCTTTTGCGGAATCTGATTTACATTGTTGCTGATTTTGAATATCTCTTCAAACAATTTCCTCAAACTCGTGTCAATTTGAAGATTCATTTCGATCACACAACTGCTATTTTTCGATGATTCAATAGGTCAAAAAATATTTGCAGGAAACAATTTCGTAACCGAATTTGAACAAAGAAGAGGTTATACATGTATTCCAACTCCAATCATCATATGTTATCCCTTATCCTATTCCGAGAAAAAATATTAATTCAACTTTTCAAAATTTGAAACTTGTGAGGGGTTGACGAGGACAGCACCTACAGCTCATAATCAATTTTGAACCACTACTAGGGTACTGAGAGGTTAGGCAGATAAGCATTCCGAAGTCATGAGAAATAATTTTCGAGGGAGTAATACTCATTATTTTTTACTACTACTGTTTGCATAATTATGAAATCATCTATCAGGAATCAAAATATCCACATTGAAATTTGCAACGAGAATTAGATGAACATGTCAAAAATTCGAGAATCATTTTCTAGGAAAATATATATATACAGTGTATCTAACTTCTCATGGAAACACCGCTGTATCTTACGTAATCGTTGGTAAAGGATCCTGAAATTTACTGGAGCGCGAGCTATACCAAAAATGCACTCTATGGCCAAGAGGGGTCATCTTCAGTGATTTACTCTGCTCGCCAACAGACATAGAACCACCCGTCCCCATAGAAGTCCCGGAAAATGGTATCAGGAGTCAAAATAGGTTGAAAATCTCTCCTATGGACGTCCTGAATGTCCCGCCAGGACGTCCTAAGGATATCCATGGGACATAAGTGTGTTATTAGGGATGTGAACACACCTGCTTATAAATCGTCGTGATTCGAAGAGAAGGTAGCATAAACTGAAGCACATCTCGGAACATGTCCCCCTGAATGATTCACATCATCATCAAAAGTGTGGAGACGACTGGGTGATTCTTCTTCCCATTGAAATATTCTACTCCACTTTATGCAAACATGGACTTCTACCAGAGATGAAACATATCTATCTTTCGAAACTGTGTGTTTCCGGGAAATCCGTAAATAATTAGTGAGTGATTTTCAGAAATTTTTTCGAGAAGAGTTTTCATGGATATTCGTCGACAAATGCTTCCTGAAAAAGAAACCGTTGGTTCAAAAATCATGAAATCAGGTAAGTACATCGCTTAGAATTTCAATGCTAGATCAGAATTCCAAAATTTCAATCAGGTGTGTATCATACTGGATGGATTGAGGGTAAAATCAATCCCATTTTCTATGGAAGGTTTTCCACATCCTTATTTCAGAATATGAAACCTGAAGATTTTCTACGTGAAATGGTACTCATATTCCAAATCGATAAGCCTAGTGGTTTTCTAGAAAATTGTCCATATCGATACATTGGCACCCTATAAATACGAGGGTTTATCTCAATATTTTCGAAACAGGAAAACCACTCTGAAATATCAAAAGTTTGGCACACTCTTGACGCCAATTGAGATTCTGAAATGGAAATTTTGAAATTCTTATCAGAGGCGTATCATACTGAAGGGGTTTGGATGAAACAACCCCATTTTTTTAACTGAACGTTTTTCAACAAGTATTTACAAGAACTTATTTCCATGAAAATCCTGCAGTATTCACACCTAACAATGATAAGGGAATATCGTGTATGTTCATGAATTTGCTTTCCTTCGAATTTGTCGTTATATTATAGTTCAATGCGATCAGTAAATAATATAGCGATAAGATTAACAATCTCGACAATTTTTTTCCAGTAGATCTCGTCCACCTATTAACGCAGCTAACCATGAAATGAAAAATCCATAGCCTACTACCACGAAATTCTTGTATAGTTATCTCGAATAATTGCATCAGCTTACTGGACTTGCATAAGGTTTGTTATTGTACAAAAGTGGGTGCAAAAATATTTCGTTTCATTGTTAAATGAGTGTTCGGTGACCAGCACAAAATCATTTGAATAAATAAATATTGAATACGAAAAATCTGGAAAGATATTTCTTTGGAAGTCTGACATAGCGAATAGTGGAGGTAAACAAGTGATAATAGTGTACCTATATAAGGGAAGGTGATTCTCGGAAATGTATCAGTTGTGTTCTGTGATCTCTCCAGACATATTTCCTCATCGAAATGATTGCACAAGTGAGTTTGATATGAAAATCAAAATATATGAGCTGAAAATTGATGCAGCTTTTGAATGTGGTACTAATCTGACCAATGGGCTTATAACACAAAAAAATTTTATTTCATAATTCGATAGAACTCACCCAAACTAGCTCACCACCGCAAACCGTTTCTTGCTGTGTGCTCCCTACGTTTTATTAAAAATTATTGAATTCCCCAATTTTTCGGACCTCTGAAAACGAGGCGATGATGTGACGTCAGAACCCTAATACTGAAACAAGTCTATTTCAGACAGAGATGAATGATACATGATTTCTGACAGAGTGAATTAGCGCGAGATCACAGTTGAAAGAATTAATATATCAGTTGCCTTAGTCTCCGTCGGGCGTTTGGTCATAAATACGTCATGAAAGGGTCCGTTTTCAGAAGGTACTATTATTTATGTCCAAAAATAAAACATTCCAGTAAATTTTTCGATCGAATTATGTCGTGAATCATTATTTATGTATAGAAGGATCATTATAAACATGGTTTGAGTAAAAAGTTCTACTAAGGTGTACACGGCCATTATTTAAAGGACCACGAATCAAAAATTTTGAAAAAATATGCGATTTTCTCCATTTACTCATCTCCATAGTATTCAAACAAGGTACTACTATTATATCAATTGCATTTCTCGACTAGGTTCCGGGAATAGGGAAATTTCAAACGCATGCTCATTTTGGGAAAAAATACTTACTACAAGTACCTACACGATTGATTTACGTTGACTGTACATTTGAAGTTCTTCAACGTGTACTTGGATTAAGAACTTGGAGAATGGTATGTTGTTGAAATCGATAATTTTCGGCGGCCAGCGTAGCCTCGTGGTTGAAGCGGTGCCGGTAGGTGGGTTCGATTTCCACCACGACCGCAGAAAATTTTTGGATGGCCTGAGAAAGTGTTTGGGATCATACGTTGAAGGGTAAGACCCCTGTCATTCCTTGCTCGCATAAGTCTCTTGAAGACTTCTGAGGATTGCTCGTAAGGGGGCAACCGAATGATGGATACAAACAATATATCAAGGGAGCAGAGGTATCCATGATAGCGGACGTAGCGGACTGCGGCGGACATTAAGCACACAGTTATTGAGATAATAGTGATACAACTAATTTTTTCATTCATAGAGATGAGGAGAGAAGAATCGCAAAATATTAAAAGAATTGAATAAAATATCTCCTCGACTAACCTATACAGACAATATAGAAGCTCTGTCTCTTTCATGTGAAAGTTATCATCTTTTTGATTTATTATTCCCGCAATATTTTCAGAATACATATATTCAAGTATGTTTGGAATATCTTATATTGGACAGAGGATTTCATTTCTAATAGCGTGTACAGTTTTCTATAGGTGATGTCAGCATTTTTTCTCTTATCTATATTTTATAATAATGCATGCATTTCTTTTATTCAGGTTATCTTCGTATCTGCTCTTGCAGCAATGGCTAATGCAGGTTTACTGCTTGGACATGGAATCGGTGGAGTTGGTCTTGGACTCGAAGGAGGATTAGGACTTGGAGGAGGATACGGACTTGGGATAGGAGGTGGAATAGGACTAGGAGGTGGACATGGAATCGCCATTGCCAAACAACAAGTTGTAGATCTCTGGGTCAGTAATATACATTCCCCATCGACTTTGTATTAACAAGTTTCATTAATGTATGTACACGAAATTGATTGTTAGGTACTGACCCCTTTCAATGATTGTCTATTAACGAACGAATGTGGTACGGGCAAACAAACATACACCGCCTCTTTTCACTGTTGGGATTATAACTCACGGAATCTGGATTCAAATCGGAAATATCGATTTATTTGAAGATTTTACGGGTTAACTTTTGAACGTTTCTGAATCGATTTCAATCCCTGTTTTCTGACACAAAGGGAATTGAAACTTTTCGAAATTGAAGAGAGTATTAAAACGTTACTAATTGTGTGAAGAAAATTATTACCAAGCTGGTGATGTGAAGTTCATTTCAACACCACCCTAATAGAACTATAATGTCCTATGGACATCCTCAGACCATCCCGTCGGGACATTCAGGACGTCCATGGGACGACGTTTCCGGACGTCTGTGGGACGCACAGATGACCTACTTAATGACCGAATAAGGACGTCCTCAAGGGATGTTCAAGGACAACTATTGGAAACTTGAATCCTACAGTATTGCTCATCAAACACTACAGAGGACATCCGTAAGGCAACCTATCAGCAATACTGAGGAATATTGATTGGGAAGGTTCTCAAGAGTTCCCATCAGAGATGTACTTCAAGGATGTCCAATGGATCAGGGACATATTGAACGTACCGACAGGGACGTCCGTAGAATATTTTTTCTAGGACATTGGAAGAAAACATTACATTTCTTAAGTAGCCAACATGGCTGAATGCATATTGGCGTATTGATAAAGAATCATAATATGTTTGAACCATAATTAGAAACGATTTGCAAACACGTTAATTGGTTAAATAACCATCGAACGATATTTCCATTCATCAATGCATTCATTTCAAGCCTATGAAAGATGTGTTGTACTTAAGTATCTCAGGTTTCTTCGAGGATGCTTATTTTATATTCTCTCAACTTTATTTTTTCTATCTCTAGGCACCTCCGAAGTACGAATACAAATATGGAGTTGAAGATGCTCACACTGGCGATTTGAAGGAGCAGGTGGAATCCAGGATTGGAGACCTCACCAAGAGCCAGTATGCTCTAGCTGAGAAGGATCGACAGATTCAAGTGGCTAGGGTGATCGCTGGTACAGTCCCTGTAGTTTCCAAGGGGTGGTGATCTTCAATTTGTTAAATTATCTGTTAGTTGCTCATTTTTATATGTTGTGTTTTTCCATGATGAAGTGTGTATGCCAGCCTGAAGTACAATAAATAGTATAGTGGATATCCTGCTAATATTTTTTCCGACTATTTCGATTCGATATGCGACTCAAAATATTTGAGTAAAAGCTCCCTTCCAATTCTATTAATGAAAAGCCTTCACCAGGGGTAGATGAACTACCAATATCGAAACTAATAATCCATAATTATTCTATCGCCATAAATATCACCTGTGGATCAGTCAATTTCGAATTGAAAAATATCAGAGAACTTTCAAGATGTAATGTATTTTTGCATTCCTCTTGCATTCATCATTATAGATTGCATAATCGAAGACCCTATATAGGTCGCGTGCACGATGACCGACCCTGGAGGTGAAATATTGAAACACAACCTCACTCTCCTGTGAATTATTGGAACACAACCTCACTTTTTTTATTTGTTTACAGAGGAATCAAAGGATTGAAATAGTTTTTCACAATATGTTGGCATACGAATCGTGTTTTTACGCTATTCATTAATTCAAGCATGCCTTCGCATTGTACTGTTGTTCAATGCACAAAAAATGCAGCGAGAGACGAAGGAATATGATTTTTCAGGTAAATAGAAATCTGACATAGTTATCATTACGAATGGTTGTCATTCCTGAATAAAACTCCTTCTGCCACTTCTGCAATACAAGCTAATACTGCTAATAGATTGAAAATTTCTACAACTCACACGATCATATTTCGTTAGCATGTCAGACCAGTCCTCCCGTTTGATTGCATGAATCCAATATTCTTGCATTATTTTAGAAATTTCACGAGTATTTCTATTAGCTCCTATTGCAGAAGGAATTCCGATGAGAAATCAGAGGAATTATCGAATTCCAAAAATGAAAACTATATGTGAGTGACTATAGTAGGTACTTACTTTTGAATAATAATGTACTTACCGGATTCCATCATTTTCCGCTGCAGTTTTTTTGCATTGTACAACAGCACAATGTGATGCCATGAGCGAATCAATGAATAGCCTAAAAATGCGATTCGTATGCCAAAATAATTGTGAAAAACTATTTCAATCACTTGTGAACAAATAAGAAAGTGGGGTTGTGCTTCATTGTTGTGCCTCCAGGGTCAGTCATCTGACAGTTCTTGCACGCGTATCATCCCATTTTTGGTCATCAGAGAGTGTAAAAGTTTATTGAGCACAGAATAATATAATTCCTCACGAGTATGGAGTTTGCAGCAAATCATGCCATTGGGAAATTAGCATTCCGTGCTAGTTTCACATTATACTTCTTCTACGGCCTCAATAAACAGGGTGACCAGGTAGTACATTTATTTTGCTTGATTATCATTGGTCATAATTAGTCGTAATTTTGACCAAAGTCATGTGACCATCCTCCGTAGTTGATTCATTTGTGAATGATTTCAATATTGTACCGTCTTTGTTGTTCGAAAAGGATTCTTTTTCTGCATATAAAACTCTCTGATTGCCACTAGAGTAGATACCTACCGATGATGAGAACACTTCAGGAAGATATCAATCAACGGTTTGGATTATCTTTAGATACGCTTGCTAGAAAGGCAAATTCACTTTTAATACCTGCGTATTCGAATTATATTTTCCTGCAACCAAAATTAGCTCATGAATTGACGTATCTATTACTGACACAAACATAGGTCGTTTGCTAGGCAACCCTTCCAGTTCCTAGGAGCTGAAGTGGAACTTTAGCTCCTAATAACTGAAAAGGATGAACTAGGTCATCAAGAATAAACAACATTGTAATGGTTGGTTATTTGAGTTGGGACGCATACCTGATTTGGTCCCGATTTCGGCAGATTTGGCATTTCTTACCCATGCTGGAGATATAAATACACCATATCATACTTATATCAAGTATTTTTGTTTTGATCACGAAAGCCTTCAAGAATCACATACTTGCTCCATCTGTATTTCATACATTCTCGGGATCTGATTGATTGAATAACTAGTTGTTGAATAATCACGGCCAGCAATACTTTTTTGTCTCACACAATGAAATTGTTTACCGAGCCAAACACAGTAGAATATGAAGAGAAAAAAATAATCGCTGTTATTATTGTTGCCCACTAACCTAACATTTTCCACTTCTTTTCCCAAATGAATTCATCGACCATCGATTTAATAGAATACACAAATGAGTCACTCTGTGGTTATATTTATATTGAAACTACATCGTCATCGTTCACCAATATTCTTATGTAAAGTAGTCTGAGAGCTTGCTTCTATCAAGTTACCTATATTATTATAATAAAGGTATTTTAATAATCTGACAAGTAAATCACATTGGTGGTTACTCAACATATTTATTATTAAAAGAGCATGTTTCATTCGGATCGAAAGTGACTTTGTTTGACTCGCAAATTTTGCTTTCGCTTGGCTTCGCTAGATGTTCCACCTCGCAAATGAAAATGTGCTTGTCAAACAAAGTTTCACTTCTGATCCTAATGAAACAATCAACAATTTTCTACGGCTATAACTCAAGATTGCTCTTGTTTTACTGTGTTCGATACATCAATGAGGTACTTTGTATCCATTGACAGTTCTGTCTAATAGATGAGCATTACTTGACAGGAAATAAGATGGCCACAAGACGAAAAAATCGAAAATGCCGCTTTTATCTATTATAACCGTAGAAAAATTGTAGTGTATAACTTGCAAGGAATGTTAATTCCCTACTAGAATGATTGCAGCATTCGCCTATGGCTTGTGCTGCAAACTTCATTCTCGTAGGAAATCACCCTCATTCCGTGCTCGTTAAACAATATACTATTATGGGTATAGGGAAGAGAGTCGTAGGGAAAAGAGTCGTAGTGAAAAAAGTTCATATATTTCTCTGCAATTTATATTGCTTTATTGAAACTCTTGTAAAACTAGGAATGGAATAATAAACATGAACAAAAAAATATGGCAAAATCAACAACATGCAACTCTCATCGTGAAGGTCAATAGTGTCCCTTCTGTACGACAGGAATACTACCGTGGATCACCCTGGAAACCTGTATCTTCCTGTCCTTCTCCACAAGACCGTATTCGCTCTTGGTGAGATCCCCTATTCTAGATTCTTGTTGCTCTTTCTGATCACCAGTGTGGTGGTCTTCCACTGCATATTTGTATTCGTATTTCGGAGGTGCCTTGAATAAAATGAAGAATCGAATTAGAAATATGAAGTGAGCGAAAAGTGAAGAGAACTATTTCAAAAATTTCCGAGAACTCATCCAGAACTTTGAAATGATTAAGAAAGAACACTGCGCTGTGTCTTTTTCGATTCACTTCGTTTCGTGGTTGAATCTAGTGAGTTCAATAGTGACGTAATTGGAGTTTATCCATATGTATTTCAACTGAACAGGAAACACTGAAAACCTACACTGTTCAGATGATATTGAAATCTATTGATAGAATTCAATGTTAATGTTGCTATTTGATATCGAAATTCAACTAATATGGTCTATGTCAATTTTGCACTATTAATTGTCTAATATCCAGAACGAAAAGCAGTCCAAACATCACTCCATGTGAATTTTTGGCTGTGTGATATTTCCAATTCAAAAAATCAATTTTCCATATCTATGGCATGGATGAATTTTCAATTCCTACGAGTTTTGTTACCTACTTGTTGGAAATCCATCATAAATGAGAAAACTTAGCAAACGATCAAACTTCTAAATTTAATCTTCACAACATGTTTTGCTAACAGAATAATACTTCTTTGAACGATATTTTTCATTCTGTTACTCAATAACAGATATCTAATTCATGAAAAATAATGTAATCAATTTCAATCTGTCTGGTAATAAGAACAATAATGAATTTACTGAATTCAAACTATTAACCAAATTCGAATTGAAAACAACCATTGATACAATAGCGAATAAAAACAGTCCAGATGAAATTGGCGCACTTGATGTATTCAAGAATCATTTTGCAAACATAGCAGATCCTTTACTAAATTTGATCAATAGTTCATTAAAACAGGGAATTTTACCTGACAAATTCAAACTCTCAAATATAATATCTATCAAAAAAAAATGCAAGCAGCATTAATGCTGAAGACATGCGACCAATAAATACTTTACCTGTTATTGAAAAAATACTTGAAAAAGCTGTATGTGTTCAACTAAAACAGTACATATTTGAAAACATAGAGGAAAAGAAAATTTTTTTGTCAAACAAGCAAAGAAAACACAGACGCAGCGTTCAGTATTCTATAAAGGTGTAGTGGAATATAACAAACTAGGAATCGATTTGAAGAAGAGACCACTGAATATATTTAAGAATAGTGTCAAAGATTTCATCAGAAGTTAACATATGAATGTAATATAAAATCATTGTGTAGTCACCTATTATATATACTGTTGTTGGAATTTGTAGCGAAAGGCTAAAAAAATTACTACAACTAAAAACGAAAAAAAAAAAACATTTCTCAGGTTGTTGATGTTGCCGTGTGTACTGTGGTAACTTTATTAAAAAACGCGCGTTTTTGAAAGTTGGATTTAAACACGCTAAGCATTTCTATAGATAAGCATAGTAGGGTACCAATGAAAAACTATCTTCTGTACCTTGATTTATAATCACTATTAATAGGAATAAGTTTTCTTAACTCACGACTAGGTCAACCACAGTTTCTTTGCCTCCAATTGAAATTCCACTTCCTCCAATGCTAGAATAACCTCCTGAACCATAACCTTCACCTCCTATGAGTCCTCCATGAGCGAATACCAAAAGACTAGCAAGGGCAACTACCTATAAGGAAAATAGAATCAATGATTTCTTGTATAAAGATGATGCCATCATCATCGATAACTCGATGAATTGTGTTTATTTGTCCCTAACAAAAAGATTTTCACAATTCTGAATGGAATATTTGTATATTTCAAGCCACCTTCTTGCATCTTTCTAAAGAACTGCTATTCTTTTTCAAATCAATCCACCAAAGCAGTTCAAATTTGATCTCACAATTCAAAGAGTAAATAATAGTAGATTGTTCGATTAGGACAAAAAGTGACACATTTCTGTTCGGCTTCGCTGAGGCTCTGCCTCGCAAACGCATAATTTACGAGTCAAACAAAGTCACTTTTGATCCGAATGAAACATGTTATTTTCTCTGCAACCAAAAAATGAGACCTACTTATAATAATATGAGTGAGTAGATGAAAACAAGGCCTAAGACTACTTCACTCTGTTACAATTTGTGTTGACATGCATCATGTCAAAAGAGACTACAGGCACGAATTCAATACTATCCGAACGTCTTGTCATGCGATACAACAAATAATCCGTATGTTGAGGATATTCTACATGTATAAATGTTTTGTACAAAACTTCGCACAAAACGCAATGGCCAGTGGGTAGCGTGCCGGCCTGATATGCCAAAGGTTGTGAGTTCCAATCCCGTACTCCATCTCCTTCTTTTTTGAAGTGATCAATATAAAAATAATGCTTTGGAGGCAATTACAGATCAGGTTTATTCAATTTTCAAGGATGTTCGAATTGTAGTTTCAATATGAATATAACAAATTGACTAGGTGGTATATGATTGTGTCTGAGTTTGTTGTTGAAAATAATAAATACTATCTATGTTGTTCATTCTTGATGACCTAGAACATCCTATTCAGTTCCTATGAGCTGAAGTTCAATTTTAGCTCCTAGGAACTGAAAGTGTTGCCTAGCAATATATCTATTTTTGTGTGAGTAATGAAAACGTCAACTTCAAGAGGTAATTTTCGATTTGAAATGGACGACTTTTGAGTCGGCTGCAGAAAAAAGTTAATTTTGTAGGTTCACTTACCTGAGCAATCATTTTCTGTCTTATTTTTGTTGACTGTTGTCTAGCTGCATATATTGCACAGAAACTGTATGACTGACTGATAGATTTCGAAGGAATCCACCTGATTTTATATACGAATTATCTGTATACATTCACCATATACCTAATAAGATCTAATTTGCAATTCGCAATAAACAGAAATTTTACCCCAGTTTAGACCGGCTGATGCAAGTCTGTATCGATTTGGGATAATCACCGAGTATGTATAGATATTATGAGAAGCGTGAGGAAATTATCTTAGGATCTACGTGCTTCAACATTTTCGTTGCAGATTTTCGATAACAGTTGATATTTTTGTAAACATCTGAGCTGAAACGAAATAGCATATCATATCATACGAAAGCGCTGAAGGGACATGGTAAAACATTTTTTTTTAATATTTTTCACAGTTTACTGCAGCTCTGGAGGGACATTATGAAAAATATAATTTTATTTTTATAAAAAAAAAATTTTTCACATTTTTAAGCAGCTCTGGAGGAACATAGGAGAAATATGATTTGATTTCTGTGAACATAATTATATTTCTCCTATGTCCCTTCAGCGCTGCATAAAAAATTGTAAACATATTTTTCGCAGTGCTGTGTTGCCAGTTACCAAGTTTGTTTTTATAGTTCGTGAAGACACAATGCATCTGCGCCAGAAATTGTATGACATGATCAAGATGTGACCAATAAGAAGAAAAGAGTTGGTTATTGTCCAAATCGAAGATCAATAACCTTCTGATCCACCTTTGCCATATCATTCCAACATATTCAATATTGGACAACCACTTTTGATTCTGTTTCAGAAAATAGAACTAGATGATGTATAATAATAGTATGTAGGTACCTAACACAGGTACCTAGCTATAACCTAACCAAACAGTATTATTCTCAAGGAGCAAAGGGTGTATAATCTTTGGTTCAAGGCATAGAGGGGTGGATGAGGGTGACCAAGGGATATAAACGTCCAAAAATAAGTGAAAATTTGATATTTGTCCTATAAACCAATATTTCTCTTCTCCAGCAAACCATTTTCAGAACAAAATATCACTGACAAGCAAATTTTAGGCTCCCTGATAGGAACATTATTAAACGCAGTTGACATTTTGGGGAAAATTATCTGATTTGTCCTCACTACACGACACACGTGTAATGAAATTATACTCATATTTTTATTTGGTGGAAACGAGGCGTGAAATTCCCAGAAAAATCTTTAATGATCTATGATGATGATTTAGGAAGAAGATTCATTATTACTTCATTCCAGAAGGGTTAGATCTATAACACAAGGCAAAATCCGAGACAAAATCACCTTCGTAAAACAGAGCACCACTCCACGTCATTATACAGGGTGTCAATTTGAAAACTTCCCACCCTTAATATCTCCCTCCAAGTCGATAATATGGAAAAACGAAAAGACAGGTCGATTTTATTTTCGAGGGGGACATGGTTCTAAAATATTTTCAGCCCCGCGGCGTTGCCGCTTCTAACGAAAAGAAGCAACAACTTTGTTATTTCAAATGGAACACCCTGTATTTTATTACATTTTTAGATTCTCCCTGAAAAGCTGATTTCATCAATGTATTATTGGTCAAAACGGCTTTCATGTCCCTATCTGAACTTTTGATTTACTACCTACTGACATTTATTTGAAACAAATACAGGGTGATCAAAAGTCTGAATCTTGAACCACCCTGTATTTGTTTCAAATAAATGTCAGTAGATAGTGAATCAAAAGTTGAGATAGGGACATGGAAGCCGTTTTGACCAATAATGAATAGTTTCGACTCAAAAAAATCCTAAAGTTGTAAAATCTCGATATTGAACACCCTATATCTCTGTAATCATTCCTGCTAGACCCCAAGTGTGATACATTGATGAAATCAGCTTTTCAGTGAGAATCTAAAAACGCAATAAAATACAGGGTGTTCCATTTGAAATAACAAAGTTGTTGCTTCTTTTCGTTAGAAGCGGCAACGCCGCGGGGCTGAAAATATTTTAGAACCATGTCCCCCTCGAAAATAAAATCGACCTGTCTTTTCGTTTTTCCATATGATCGACTTGGAGGGAGATATTGAGGGTGGGAAGTTTTCAAATTGACACCCTGTATAAAAAGTCTCCACACCATGATGGTATTACTCTTCATAACAAGTTACCTGTTTACATTCAAAGTAATAAAACCTGCAGCAAATTCAATAAGGAAGTTCAATCGTTTTTTATCAAAAATGCTTCTGATTCTAAAAAAGAATACATGAACATAAAAATCTCCTTCAAAGGCCCTATCGACATGTCGGAAAATATATGGGTGTTCCTTTGAAAAAATCAAAGTTCATGTTCATTCCGGAAAAACGAATGACCCTGTATAATGAATTAACATTCTCACAAAATGGAAGTTGGGGTCGTTTCAAAAAACTTTTTCATCCAACATTTTTTCATATCACTGAAACCAAAAGAGTTAAGGGGGGTTCCAATTCAAGAGGCGCACCCTGTACTTATCAAATTTCAGAATTTGTGAATATCAGCGAAACATTCTGCAAAAATCTGATGCAAGTTTATTTTCATAGACGCCAGCTTGTTTACCTAGACGCTAAATGCTCATGCACTAATTGCATTGATTTGACACAAATTTTCAAGTTTGCATTTTTCCTAATCTAAGGTGAATGGGCGTTTACCACAAGGTAGTATAGTATGAATTAATGGTATAAATGGATCCGAAAATCACAGGTTTGATATAGTTTGTCATCAAACTTCATCCAATCTCATATTAATATCATAATTCGATATCTTACAATATTTCAAACAGTTAGTCGTCGGTGTAGAATGATTTCTCACGTAAGTATAAATAGCATACACTGTTTCTTTTCGTTAATCATGATGCTATCTCCACAACAGTGAGTACTTGATCTTTAATTGCCTCTATATGTCAACTTCATTTGTTTCAATAACCAACCAAGGTCCTATATGAGCATTATCCTCTTCTATAAACGTTATTACCTCTGATTCCAGGTCTTCACTGTTGCTACACTCGTAGCTATAGCAGAGGCAGGAGGTTACGGCATAGGACTTGGAGGACTAGATGGCGGATTAGGACTTGGTGGAATAGGTCATGGCGATAATGGACATGAGCGAGTTGTGGATTTACATGTATGTATAGTTATAATACTCCAATAGCTGGAGAAGTTTCCAGAATCTCACTTTTGAGTGAATAACAATTATCTACTTATTTCAATCGAATCTAGATAAGATTGCAACAATGAATAAGAGTGTCGCCATTAGTGTCAACGAATCTATTGGAGAAGTCATAATAGCTTCTAGAATATCAGGTGTATCGAAATGACATTCACTATGGATTAATGGCATGGAGAGGAGAGTTTCCACATATTTCACACTTTTCAGTCACTTTTGGTTTCATCGGAAATTTTCAGAAGTTTCAACGCCAACTTAATTTTTTCAAAGCCACTCGGTCAATATTGCACAAATTCAAGCAACTTCAACTTGAAAAATTTGAATAAATAAAATTATTATCCATTATTTGCCTCAGTAAGTAATATTTCATTCATGTTGCTAAGTTTTAAACTAATCGAAAATGAATTATATGGTATCGTTAGATTCGCCAAAAAATCCTCCTTGTATGATTTTGCCAACTTGACTTTCTATCTCCCATATTCGTCACTAAAACTTCGCAAATTAAATTTTCTGACATCACCTGAGGTCCTTAAATTATAGTTCACATTTGATCATATGGCCACAAAAATGTCATCATAAAAGTGAATCTGAAAAAATGAAGTTGGCGTTGAATATTTTATAAATGCCACATTCTGATCCAGAATTGTTTCAGGAGTCCAGAAATGTTACAATATACATTTGAATATTCAAGACGAAAGTCAATACCGGTGAAACTGGTAATGAATAGAACATGAAAAATATGCGAAACTATATCCTCTTCACATACTATTTGACTATACCTAATCTCATTTTGATACACCTGATACTCTAAAAGTTATAACTTGTTCAATAGATTCGTTGACACCTGCTAACTAACTCCTAAATACTACTTTATATTCTGGTGAAACCAAAATCACAAAAAATATATATATGGTATTCTGCACTTTCAAGTATTAACCAACTCGAAAAAAATCGTCCACTCAGTAATTGGCATTGTAACTTTAATCTCCATAAAATTCTTCTATTCATTTTTTCAGGCTCCCCCAAAGTACGAATTCAAATATGGCGTCCAGGATCACAAGACGGGCGACCAGAAAGAACAACAAGAAGTCCGAGTGGGAGACGTGGTCAAAGGCCAGTACTCGCTCGTCGAACCAGATGGTACTATCCGTATAGTAAAGTACACTGCTGACGACCACAACGGCTTCAACGCCATCGTGCTGAGAAAAGGCCACGCTGTCCATCCTCAGGTAGTTCACAAGGCCATCGCTGTGCCCGTCGTATCCAAAATCGGAGTAGGCCTGGGCCACGGTCTTGGGTTAGGACTCGGAAGAAGCGATGGGTTAGAACTTGGCGGTGTGTCTGGTTTGGGACTTGGCGGAGGCATTGGATTAGGACTTGACGGTGGACATAGGATATCGCTTGGAAGAGAAGATGGTAGAGGAGACGGGTGGGTTGTTGGTGGAATTGGTAGGGCGGAAGGATCAGGACTCAGATGGGTTGGAAGGGGAGAAGGATGGGGACACGGAGGACTTGGAGGGTACTAGAGATAGAAACCTTTTTTGTTTGTCGTTGATGTTCCTTCTAGTAGTTGTTTCTTCTTAGGAATCATGTTTAATCGTAATGTAATGTTTGTGTTCTATTATTGAGTTAGAGGACTCGTTGAACCTTTCTATGAATTATATGTAGGTATTTATGATCAATAAATGTTGTTTCAACTGAATCAATATTTTTTATTTTTATGCTGTGCTCGAACACTTCATGAAATATTAATCCTCTGTATTGAATTGAATAATTTCATGAGAAGAATTATCTAATCCAATGCAAAACATGTTATAGTAAGCATTTTTCTTTATGATTATAATTGATAATACCTGCCTATACTAATGATACTATTATCGTCTACTATTAATAATATAATGTGGGTAACTTATCTCTGCCTATCATCAATGATATTGATAGTGGCGTTACCTCGAATCGAATCCTTAGATCGTGATCTAAGATCTGTACTGGTTTCTATATATGTTGTTGAGTGCAGATTACAGTTGCAGAAAACGTACAAAATTTCAACTGACATTGCTCAAATAGTTTCGACGGCTTGCCAGTAGATGGCACGTTCAAATCGGCGGCAAGATGCAAGATTGGTAGAACAACTAATAGAATTTGTTTTCTGTTTGAAACAGTATCGCCCCTATCACCCCTATAGTCGTGTCTGAATAATATACCTCATCTAACTAAATACCATCCAGTGAATCTGAATATACCCAGCCTGGTCTGTTCGTTTGTGTTTCTGAAGTTGCTAAAGTTGATTTGCTTTTCAAATTTATCTCTTTTCATGGCATGATGTAGAAAGAGTTATTTAAAAAAAAGTTTAGCAGGTGGAACCTTAGAATCCTGTATGATCTAAGGGTGGAACAAACACAAACGAACAGCAGGCCTCTAGTTTCAGTTCCGTGGCACGATGCCCGCGAAGGCGTGGCATCACTGGTATAATGACTAATGACACAGTTTGGGTATTCTGTGATAATGACATAAGAATTATTTACATTTTTAGGTTAGATTAGAGATTTGTCTCTGGAGTCTGGAGTTGTTTGTAAGTGGACTGTGGAATCTGGAGTCTGAACGTCTGGACTGTCTGGAGTCTGAATTGAATTTTTTTTCAATTATCCTATCCACGACTTTACCTGAATTTCATTCAGAATTTACAGTTTTTTCACAAATAAAACGACAAAATGATGAACACAAATACTGACCTAACTGAAGAAGATGCTGCAGATCTGCAATTTCCCAAAGGTGAGTTTTTTTACCCCAAAACATATCTTTAGCTAGCCATTATTGAACTTTCAGACAACCTCTCAACATTTTCTAGCCAAAATATTTTCGATAACAGCGATACAAGTTATTGTGAAAATTGTTTCAGTGAAGTAGTAAACAAATGGATATTATGTGATAAGTGCAACATTAATATTTGCTTAGCTTGTTTTTCCAATGGAGCAGAATTCAAAAAACATAAGAGTGATCATGATTACAAAGTACTAACCACCAAATTCATACTGTTTGAAAATTCTGATTGGACAGCAGAAGAAGAGTTGAAACTTTTAGATGCTATCCAGAACTATGGAAACTGGAACATGGTAGCACAAGAGTTTCCAAATCGCACCATAAGTGAGGTTGTAGACCACTATGACTATTTTTATCTGGAACGAAATGGCTCAGATGGTCTACCAAACATAAAGCAATCAGATGCTGCACTATTTCCAGAGTTAGTAGTGCCTTATAGGTTTCAGCTTTCTGACATTGATGAACCTCCAAGGTATTTATCTAACACTGTAGGCTTCAAATCTTTAGCAGGATATAACCCAGCACGTTCTGATTTTGAAAATGAGTATGATAAAAATGCTGAGGATTTATTATCCAACATGGAGGTTGTAAATGAAGATGACCCACACTATGAACTTCTTACTAATCTACAATGCTCTTTGATTGAAAGTTACAATAGGAGGTTGAGGGAAAGACAGCATTGGAAGAATCTTATACGTAATCATGGACTTCTATTGCTGAGAAAAACTATTTCATGGTTGCATAGATATGATTACACTATTCAGAAGCCTGTGTATGAGAAATTGATAAGGTTCATGCAGTTCTGTAAACCTGTAAAGTTTGATATGTTGATGGAAGGACTGCATAGAGTTGGGGAACTCAAAATCCATATATCAAGGTGAGTGACAAATTTTTGAAGTCTAGTTATTTTTGTTATTTATCAGGTAGGTATCACCATATCATCTATCTTCAAGGTGAAAAAGTCTCATATTTCAGTACATGATCTCCATTTATTTTTCACATTATCCCAAATTCAATTTTGGTATAGTACCTATTATACCTATGAGATTTCATGATGATCTGTGCAAGTTTCTCAAAGCTGCTCTCTCCTCTTCAGTTGGTTTCAAGATTTGTTCAGCCATAAGAGGTAATGCAATGTGATAGATCACTGTGAATGTGCCCAATATTGCTAAAGGAAAGTTTCTTCTAAACTTCAGGATATTCTGTTTTGACATATTGTGCTTGAAATTCAAAACTGTTATTTGGTCAATCAAAAGTCATGTTTCTTTTGTTTACCATCTTATGTGATATTCTTTCATTCTGAATGAATTGAACTGAATTAGTAAACAAGCATTCTATCCTAACATCAATCACAAGGAATTCCAAGGAATTCCAAGGAATTCTAGTTGTTTGTACACCAGAATTATACTGCACTTCACACAAGGAATTCCAAGAAACTCCAGGGAATTCCAAGGAAATCCAAGGAATTCCAAGGGAATCCAAGGAAATGAAAGGACATTCAAGGTATTCCATGGAACTCCAAGAAATTCCAATGAAATCCAAGGAATTCCAAGGAAATCCAAGAAGTTTCAAGGAATTCCAAGGAATTCCTAGGAATTCCAGTTGTTTGTTTGTACACCAGAATTATACCACACTTCACTCAAAGAATTCCAATGAATTCCAATCAAATCAAAGAAAATCCATCAAGGAATTCCAAGGAAATTGAAGAATTCCAAGGAATTTCAATGAATTCCAAGGAATTTCAATGAATTCCAGGAAATTCCAAGGAATTCCAGTTGTTTGTACACTAGAATTCCATCGCGGTTTACCCCTCGTGAAAATTCCTCGGAAAATTCATCTTCAAAGAAAAAAAAGGTGCTGTTGTTTCATATCGTTCGGATGTATCATTTTAGAGAAAAATAGATTCAAGAATATTGTTACATCTCACTTATATTATAAAGAACATTGCAATGAATCAATCGTATTGGATATGAAAAAAAAAGCATAAAAATTGAAATAGTTTTTCATCATTATTCTCCTATTTTACGCGCACTTTCTGACATAGTTGATTTTGTTTAAAGCCACACGACTATGATTTGAAAATTGGCAATGGTATGTTTTTACAAAATGCCAGATCTAACAATATTTTTCAAATCGATTTCACTTGAAAATGATACATCTGATCGATATGAATTAGGAGCTACTATTTTCTCTTATGAGGAGTAGAAGTATTCATACAAAAATGTTTGCACAATTTTCAATATAGTCCCACCCAGTATTATACACTCATGAATGATATTTTGGAATGATTTCATTTTCACTGCATTGGGTATGAAAAGTTTAGTTCTTGTACAGAAATGCATCATTCTATCATATGGCATTTCGGAAATATAGGTGATTATTAAACATACATCAGGGTGGTCCAACAAAACCGAGAACAAAACCTTTGCACCCCGATTTCAGGACTTCAGAATGAAAATGCGGAAAAACGCACGGAGCCGATGATTTTTGATTAGAGGGGAAATTACTTGTCTGCTTTCTTCATCCCCCTTACTACAACCCCCTACCTGGGAAAAGCACAACCCCTGGATTTTGAATATCAATGAGGGGAGTTGTGATTTCCATTTTGAAAATTTTATCGAGTACTATCTCTCCAATTTCGCGTGAAATTTTCATATATAACGAAATGAGAGATAATAAAATACCATAAAATGGGGTTACATGGGACAAATTCACTTCCATTAGAGAATCGATTTGACTCTGAGAAACCTTGTTGAATACTAAGAACTCACGGCGCAGGCAGGTCAATGCTGTCAATGAAGACCTTGCTGAAATCACAGCCTGGGGAACCAACAACCTAGTTGAATTCAACGCCACCAAAACTCAAGCCTGTATTTTCTCTAGAAAGGCGGAACTCAGTATGCCCGACATTGTAATGTCTGGCACCACCATCTCCACCAAGCCCACCATATCTATGCTCGGTATTTCTATCAGCAACACTCTTTCATGGTATAATCATGTCAGATCCATCGCGAAAGCTGCTTCACAAAAACTCGGATTCTTGTTCCGTGCGAAAAGCTACTTCACACCTCAACAGCTTCTCATGATCTACAAAGCGCAAATACGGCCTGTTTTAGAATACTGTTCTCACATATGGGGTTCAGCACCAAAACATACGCTGATGCTCTTAGATTCCATACAGAGAAGAGCCATCCGCCTGGTGGGTGACGCCACACTCACTCACTCTTTGACATCATTGGAACACCGTAGAAAGGTCGGCGACCTTTCACTTTTCTATCGATACTTCCACGGGAAATGTGCTTCGGAAATCTCTGCTATCATCCCTCCACTAGCAATACCAGTCAGACGAACTAGACAAGCCCAGTCAGCACATCCTTTCGTTGTCAACCTCGAAAGATGTCGAACAGCACTTTATCAAAACTCCTTCATCCATAGAGCGGCTAGGCTCTGGAATTCATTGCCTGAGGAAGTATTCCCAACAACATATAACCTACAGAAGTTCAAAAAAAATTCCAATACCTACCTCCTATCCCTATCCTCCCTAGGAACGCACGATGTTCTTTGAACATTATAGGGATTCCCTTTCGTGCGCTCCAAGCGATAAAAAAAAAATATTCACGATTAACTTAGGTAAATCGAACTTTCCTGAGACGAAAAATAACAATCGAATGAATTACTTTTCGAATCCTACTCTAATGAGAATGATATTTTCGAGGTGAATTCGACAATGCCTCATCCACTATTTAATCTTTCATTTCGTTATCGATGAACATTTTTACGCGAAATAATAGGGTCGGATAGTAGTCGATGAGATACTTATTCAAATTACGGCGGTTTATGTGCTTCCCTCTGGTAGGGGGTTGAAGTCACGGGGATGAATAAAGTAGACAAGTAGATTCCCCTCGAATTAAAATCTGGGGGTAAGTAGTAGTAGTAGTAGTAGTAGTAGTAGTAGTAGTAGTAGTAGTAGTAGATGAGGAGGCTGTTGCCAAGCAAGCAGGCTCCGATGGGCCCTTTTTGCTAACCCCTGCTCTCCACATATATCTATGCTTTCTTCATCTAGATTTCCTTTACGAATCTCCCTGATCTTCTGATGAAGGCCAGTATGTCCTTCCACTCTAATATAATCAACCCCTCCTGTCGACTCCAAAGATTTCGAATCTCAGCCTCCCGTACGCCTCGCACTCGCCGAGAAAATGGAGTGACGTTTCTTCGTCTTCCCCACATCTGCGGCAAGTGGGGTTGTCCTTTTCCCATAAGTGTTAGGTGTCTGCCTAGCCTGTTGTGTCCTGTGAGAACTCCTATGAGGAGGCGGAATACTTGGCTGTCCAGCCAAGCAGCCAGTCCTTCCTTGATTTGCTCGGACCGGCCACGAATTCCTTGGCCTGCCTGCAACCTGTGATATTCCTCCAGTATTCTCCTAGTGCATGCCTTTTCTGCCCATTCATCAAGGGTTGACGAAGTTTGGCTCCTTGCTATAGGTACCTAGTACAGGCTGCGGTCCCAGAAACGGCTCCGTGGATCCGGCCCTAGCAAGTTCGTCTGCTGTTTCGTTTCTGGGCACCCCACTGCGTGACCCGAGACCCATACCAGTTCAACTCACTTTGATTCGGCTAATATCCCAAGGGCATTCCTGTACCAATGCCGAGCTTGGTCTGGGATGATAGATAGCCCTGAGTGCTGCCTGACTATCCGAACAGATATACATTTTCTGCTCTGGTCCCTCTTTCATCTCTTGCCTCTCTGCTACGACCAGGATGGTGAACACCTCAGCTTGGAAAACTGTGGTGTATTTTCCTAAAGCGTAATTATGTTTCTCCCTTCGCGATAGATCCTTGCGCCCGATGTCTATTTGTCAGTCAGACAGGATCCGTCTGTCTAACATACTGAGCTTCCTAAGCGAAACTCCACTATTGCTTCTTCATTTTTCTCTGCTTGGAATAGTAAGTTTTAACTTCCTATTCCATCTCAGCCTGTCCTGCACTTCATTCACTCTGCCAGAGACTCTGCGAAATTTTCGTTGGACCACCCAGTGTGCAGATATTAGCTTTGAGTAGGTATTCCAGGAATGATAATCCGCGGAGATGAAACAATAAATATGAAGATGCAATTTGAAAAACGGATCCTTCGATGTATGATCTCACTGATCTCAGAAAATGAAATCTGTTCGATGTTTTTTCACCATATATACTAACTTAGACGTAATTGATAGTTTGCATCGTTCCAGGAATATCCTAAAAAAAAACTTGATTAGTATTACGTTTTGTTGATTGCTCCTTATATTATTCACTTCATCTATCTGTTCCATAGTGAATGGTCCTGCCAACAAATATGAAATTTTTCCAAAATTCTGATGAATCTGCAATAACTTTCATTGTTCCTGGAATATCCTGAAAAAAAAACAAGGATTAGTATAATTTGTTTCAAATTGGGCCAAATATCACATTGTATCACATATGGAAGAAAACACGATTCCACTCTTCTGAGAGCACTGCTCCGTTAAAACAACGACTGTTGCTTCTCATAGTGCATGATAAATTTGGAAAAAAACTGATATAAAACCACTGATTATACCTAACTCTTAAAGGCGTCACCCTCCTTTGTAGAGAGGCATTACGAACGCCAAAGTTGATACACTCCCCTCGTAAGGGTACCTGACGTGATTCCATACACTTACATAATTGAATGTCGACTAATCATTCGACTGCTGAAATGAATTTAGTGAATCGATAAAAGCTGCTTCTATACGAAGGAATGTTCGAAGAAGAATAGAACTATGATTTGTATTTATGGAAAGGCTTTAACGTTCATGAAAACTTATCTTAAAAATCTCTTCATTTCATTTATCTATCTGGTATGACATTCACAGATCTAGTG